CAGCATGCAGCTAATAATACGAGAATTTTCTATCCTGTTCTCCAAGCTTCGATCAGGCGCTGATTGGATAGGAAATTAGCCAATCAGCGCGTAGTGACGTAATCATGCTTTGAATCCATCTATGTCCCACTAACACCTCCCCTTTGAGAAAATTCGTAGGATCTGGTGCTAGTCCAACTGCGACCTGGGTGCCTTGCCACCCGTACTCTTACGAGCCGCCTGCTTTGTAGGAACCATATCTTTAAACAACCGTCGATTGGGCTGCTTCCCCACCGATAAGTTTTGTTGAGGCTCATGAACAGCATATGGTATAGGGCGTCTCGGACGTGAAGTAGGTTTGGCATCTGCTTTCGCTGGCAGGTTAGCTTTCAGATTCGTACAGCGGCCAAGGCTATTCTGAGAAACAGAGGCTGACTTCCTCTTTCGTTTATCTTGTAACCTTTCACCTGTCTTCTTTTTAAGTATCGGGGTGTCCAATGATGAACACGATACGCTGCAGACACTGTTAATGGGTAAATCCATTATTCCCAGTTTTTCTAGCATATCTAGACCAAGAAGATCAAGGTTTGGCCGTTCTGTCACATAACATATTCCTCTACACTTTGTTCCGTTGAAGGAAAATTCACACTGGAATTCACCAACCAGTTTTAACACACCACCTGAAGCGCTTTTAACTGTTTTCTTAGATGGCTTCATTGGCGGTTTTCCCAGCGAGTTGTACGTTTCTCTAGACATTAGGGTGATATCTGATGCCGTGTCGATTTGGAAACGAGCTGATGCACCGTTCATCTGGATAGTAACATACTTTCTCCGAACGTCATATTCTGTTTGAAAAGCAGCTACGAGAGAAAGTGATTTAGACTCGGCTGATTTCACCACATGTCGAGTACGTTTGCGCTTCTTCTTGGGTTGAGGCGTACGATTTGGTTGGCAATGGCCTTCTTTATGTCCACGTTTATGGCACATCTGACATTTATGTTTTTTAAATGGACAAAATCGTACGTAGTGCCAATCACCACATAACCAACATGCCGTCGTTGGTTTGTTACGAGATGTTATCGGCTTCTGGACCTTTAACCTAGTAATAGCATTGACACTACTGCTGGTTAAATTGTGATTTACCTGTTCAATCAACATGTTGTCGTTCCTGATACTTTGTAGGCGTTTACACTCATCTGTCAATGTTCTGAGTGTGACGTTAGGGTCTTGGTCCATTCGAATCAAAAGTCTAGTTCTGGTTTCCGCATCTTGCGGTGACTGAAGAGCTTTGATGAATATTAAGCATTTAAATTGGTCTTCCGTCAACGAGCGTAACCTGAACCGTTCACATTCTCTGTTGACGACGTCTGCAAGAACCGCATATTCATCATCTTTGTGTTTCACCAGATTTAGACAATGATATCTAATACTAAACAATGATGCTGATTCGCCGAAAATATCTGACAGCTGAGTTACTGTCTCCTCGAAACTGAGCTCTCGAGGTAACTTCGGTAATACGTGGTCAGCGTAACGTTCATACTCATTGCTTCCTAACTTACGCAGCAACAACCGAGTCTTCCATGCATCATCTTGTTTACCGAATTCAATTCTAAATGTATCTTCCCAACGTTTGAACCACGTCAGAAAAGTATTTCCACATTCAGGATTATAGACGAATTCTGGTATGCTGTTAGCCACTGCTTCACAAGACGTATTTGAAACAGTATGTGGACTCGAACACTGGATGTTGAGCTGTTGAGTTAGGGTCTCCAACAACCGCATTTGTGCATCTAATTGTGCTTGCTGTTGTTGTAGTATTCGGTTAAGCTGATCATCTGAAATAGGCATCTTGAAATTTTTTTCCTTTTTCTCCGTCGCCACTGTTGTAACGGTTGCTTACGATATTTCCGGCTAAATCTTATTGCTTAGTATTCTTGACACAAACACTGGACAAGTAACACAAATCAGAACACGGTTGAACAGGAAGGATTGTATTCCAAAATAGCAATGAAAAGAGCTGGAGGTGATGGCGAAAGCCAAGGCAGAAAGGCTTGAATGCGAAGAAGGCTAAGAAGGCTAAGAAGGCTAAGAAGGCTAGAAGGCTAGAAGGCAAAGATAAATACAATGCTAGTCTATTTATAGCCTTTACATGAGAAAACTTCTGGAAGAAAATTCACGTGATCGACTGGGCTGGATTTGACCAATCAGCATGCAGCTAATAATACGAGAATTTTCTATCCTGTTCTCCAAGCTTCGATCAGGCGCTGATTGGATAGGAAATTAGCCAATCAGCGCGTAGTGACGTAATCATGCTTTGAATCCATCTATGTCCCACTAACACATCTCTCTCTCTCTCTCAGTGTGTTTGAACTGAACAGTGATTAATTTCACTGAAATACATTTATTTTACATATTTATATAATATTTATGATTAAATGAATGGACTGGTTAAAGTGTTTTAAGTATGATTAGGTTATGTTAACGGAGGTAGTCACATCCCGCTGTAATTATTGTACCAGTGTTATGTTCACACGCGAAACTGAAGGTCGTGGATTCGAATCCTGTTTATTGTTGCAGAAGTGTATGAATGTATCATTCCACAAGATTTTTATCGTTTCATGATATAGACTACTGACTTTACTTACTTAGACAACAATTAAAAGATTGGCAATCAATCATCAGATAACTGTTTGGTCTACGATTTAGTTATCAAACGCCTAAACTCATTTATAATATACAAGTTTGGAGTTAAACTATCATCTTCACAATACCATTGTGGTGTGAGCTACTTATAAGTAGTATATGACGTTAGCGTCAACGTAATATCTGGCAGCGGGAGATGGGGGAAGATCAAGAAAGGAAGAGTTAGAAGAACACAATGGAATTTGTATGAAACGCATGAATAGTGACAATGAATTGATGTTGTTTGCAACAGGAACAGTTCAGTTCGATATGATGAACTGATATTTTGCAAATGAACAATTTACGATATGGTTTTCCAATTTTACTGAGTAACTCTGTAATTTTCGTTAAATACAATTCGGTTGCCCCACCTGTGTTCTCGTTCACTACACCATCACCTACGAAAACTAATAAAATTTTCTATAGCTGAAATACTCCACTAATTTCAACAACAAACGACATTATGGCTGAAAATGGTTGACAATGGCGCAGGTGCATTCACTCATTCATTGTGTTCTCGCAAATTCTAACCTCCTAGATTCCTTATCATCCTTAACTTTTCTCATTCTAAAGTTATCTCATTGAATTACACTTCTTGAATCATTTCTTCGAAAACTGTAATCTTCTCCATTACCAGTAATACCTCTGTAGTGAAAGAGAACACAGGTGGAGCAATCGAATTGTATTTAACGAAAATTACAGAGTTACTCAGTAAAATCGGAAAACCATATCGTAAACTGTTCATTTGCAAAATATCAGTCCATTATATCGAACTGGACTGTTCCTGTTACAAAACATCAATCCATTGTCACTATTCATGCGTTTCATACACAAATTCCATTGTGTTCTAACTCTTCCTTTCTTGATCTTCCCCCATCTTCTGCTGCCAGACATTACGTTGACACACGTCATATACTACTTATAAGTAGCTCGCACCACAGCACCACACCTCTACTATCTCTACCACTTTAAGGATTTGAACTGACAAATACGTGTCTGTGCTGATGCGGTTATGGTAACTGGAACATATGTACTCATTTACAAAGTTCTACGTTGTAACTAACTGATTGACTGACTGAACAATAAACATGCCTTTATCGTATATATGTACATTGTATGTTTACTGCAATTTGGAAAATTCTTCTTAACACAAAATATTTTACGCTACTGCTTTGTTCTGGTTCTTTGTTGTTTCAGTTATTTACATGCTAAAAATATTATACATCGTGATTTAAAATCAAGTAATATCTTTCTACATGATCGTACTGTGAAAATTGGAGATTTTGGTTTGGCTACAGTGAAAAGTCGTTGGTGGAATACTGGTTGTCAACAACCAACTGGATCAATATTTTGGATGGTGAGTCGAATATAATTGTGATCATCATCGTTATCATCATCAGAATAATAATCTTTGCTGAAAGACTAAATTACATTTCTTTTTTGCTTGTTGTACTAATTAATGATCAGAGAGAGAGAGCATGAACAAACATTGGAGCTGAGCAACATGAATTCATTTGATTTCGTTTGATTTCTCATCAGTTGTTTGCAACTGGTAATATTTTAGAAATTGTGATTACAAATTCAATTTAAGTTACTGACATGAAACAGTTCATTTGGGCAGTTGTTACGAACATACATTAGTATATAATAAATACAGCAAGAGTGTAAATGATTTGAACAGACTGAGTAAAGTTTTTATCGCCTGACCTCATTTGTCATTATTCGGTGGGTAAGTAGTACCTTACACTCGATACGGTTGATCTCCCACTTTGGTACAATTAATGATCACCGATGCACGGTTGATCTCCACTGGTCACAGCTTCTCAACTAGAACTCTGAGAATTTCCTCACGAAGCTAGTGTCACCAGTGGAGTTCAGCCTTCATCAGTGCTGACGGCCTGGTGACTGACGAAATCTCAGCACGGATACAGAAGGCTCGATTGGCTTTTGCCAACCTGCGTCACTTATGGCGTAGACGTGATATCCATTCGCTAACCAAAGAGCGGGTCTACTGCGCAGCAGTTCGTTCCGTTCTCTTATATGGCTGTGAAACATGGCCGTTAAGAGTAGATGTTCGTAAGTTACTAGTACTCGATCATAGATGTTTAAGAAGCATTGCTCGTATATCGTAGGACAACCGAGTAAGCAATACTGTCGTTAGGAAACGAGTACTAGGTAAGAATGGCAGATCAATAGATGAAGTGGTGAAACTTCATCAGTTGAGGTGGTTGGGACATGTGTTACGTATGCCTAACCACCGACTGCCTCGACGAGCTATGTTTTGTGGTGTAAGAGTAGGTTGGAAGATAGCTAGGGGCGGCCAGACCAAAACATGTCAGAAATCCATGAAGTCACTGATAAGTGGACTGAGTCATGTTGGTAGATGTAGACTACCTGGTTGGGGTCCGCGAGACGAAAGACATCAATGATTAGAGACCTTGAAGGACACGGCTCAAAATCGTTTGCAATGGCGCAGGTGTATCCACTCTTTGAGCTCTCTCAAATCCTAATCTTCTGGACTCTTCAACACCTCTAGTTTCGACTCTCTAACCTTATCTCACTGAATTATATTTTTTGAATAATATCTTAAACCCTAGTCTTCTTTATTAACATTAATACCTCTACTATCTTTATCACTATGGGATTTGGTTTGACATTTGCGTCTCTGTGCTAATGTGGTATGGCAACATGAACTTATGTACATACGTACGAAGTTCTACGTTGCAACCGACTGACTGACTGAAGTCCAGCCTTGTCGGGTGTAGGCACTTACTTACTACGGAGAAATGGATGAGGTTGCGTAAAACCTTAGGTTGATTAAAGTAAGACATTAACACCATTGGATGCCGGCCCAGTAATCTAGAGGTTAAGTGTTCGTGTGCGACACCGACTCTCCTGTGTTCGATTCCCATGAGTGCAGATGTTGTCAGTATGCACTACTGATGAGTACTATACTTGGATCAAACGGCCTTCCTGTAATAGTAGCCTCACAATAATCAATTGCTTATTTCAATAAAACAATTATAAGAAAATAGTACAGTTGCAATTTTGCTACATTACAGTACAGTACAGTACAGCACAGTACAGTATATAGCACAGCAAGGTTGTAAATATATTCGCCTTACATGTATTTTATTCCAAGTATCTCATAGATTATTAATCTTATTTTAGGCTGATAATGATAAATATTCATTCATCATTGCCATATAGAATTTTGTTCAACTCTTTCTTTCTTTCAACTAATTATATCATTAGGTCTTTTTTTATTATTATTGTTTCTAAATGAGTATAGTCTTATTTCAATTAACCAAGTTTTTATGAATTTATTCTTACTTGTTATCAACGTGTACTCATTACATTACGTAACCATTAGCTGTTAGCTTCTCTAGACTTTTGATATTACCATACTAATGTATGGATAGTAGTACCCAACTGTGTCACAAGACAAGCCCTCACCTGGAATCCTCAATGCCGAAGGAAAAGAGGAAGGTCAAGGAATACACACATTACACCGAGAAATGAGTGGAGACAGACATCAGAAGAATGAACAACAACAATTAGACAAAACAACTAGAAAGGAAGACTCAAGACAGAATAGGCTGGAGAATTGCTTGTCAGCGGCCTATGCTCCGTTCTGGGGTAACAGGCGAAAGCAAGCAAGTACCACTGCATTGGGGACGTTAGATCCCCAGAACTCACTTGATAAACGTCCTAATTTTGGATTTTATGTTTTCAAGCATAGGTTGATCAGTCGACCTTGAGATTATATTCCCCACCTGGAAAATCCTTGACTGTCATTGGTTGATGTATTATTTCAGTACGCTGTTTTTGTGGCCCTCCCAAAGACGTTTCTACCATGTATAAATTAACTCCATTGGTGTGTTTGAAAAACTCTCATATTTTCCAGGTGCTTGTAGAATACACTTTCTACGTCTTGCCAAGACTTCTTCCTCTACTTAGTGGGGCTTTATGAAGCCTGTCGTGTCACTGGATCATTTGTCTTCGCTCTCGTTTACCTATCTGGGTGAACTCGTCTTACTTCAAGCATATCAACTGGTGGCAAGCATAACATACTGATATATGATCAGTGCAACTACCTAACTGAATTGTTTGATATAAGTAGTATAATTATGATTTTAAATTTTAAACACGTTGTAGGCAACTGCTCAAATGATTTGTTCTTGCACTCATTTCAAGATAACAAACTGGAAATTGTGCATAGATTAAATGATCTACCTTTAATTTTTTTCCTGTTTTTTAAAACATTATTTCATTTTATTAGGCTCCTGAAGTAATACGTATGGAAGGTGAAACACCGTATACTAATCTATCGGATGTATACGCTTATGGTGTAGTGATTTATGAATTGATCACTGGACAATTACCATATAGTCATTATAATAATCGTGATCAAATATTATTTCTTGTCGGTCGTGGTTTATTGAAACCAGATCCAAGTGTATGTCGTGCAGATATTCCGCATCAATTGCAACGTTTATCCATTGATTGTTGCAGTTTTCAACGTGAAAATCGACCACCATTCTCTCAAGTAAATATTTAAATATCATTGCCTTTTTTTGTAGTTAATATTAACGCATTTTAATTTCATGTTGATGTTGTATATATTTGACAGACATACAGACAGATAGATACAACACAGAACTTCGTACGTACGTACACATTAAATCAGATTGCCATACCGCATTAGCACAGAGACGTAACTGTCGGTTCAAATCAAATAGTGGCACAGATAGTAGAAGTATTAGGAGTAATGGAGAAGATTAGGGTTCGAAGAAATTATTCCAGAAGTATAATTGAGTGAAATAACTTTAAAATGAGAAAGATATAGACGATGAGGAATTCAGAAGGTTAGAATTTGAGAGAATGCAAAGAGTGGATGCACTTGCGCCATTGCAAACAATTTTGAGCCATGTCGTTTAAGGTCTCTAACCATTTATGAACTAGTTCATAATCGATTTTCACATTTAATAGTATCAATGATAAATAGCTTTTCTCTTCAATGAAATCATGAGCCGATCGTTGTTAAGCTACCGTTAAAACACCTGGAAGAATTGGAGTGTCGTTCCATCCCAGTATGGGGCTCATCAACGGTGCACATGACAATCGAACCCGGGACTTTCAGTCTTGCGCACGAACGCTGCTTGACACGTCTAGACCATTGAGTTGGTATACAATGGTGTTATTGCTTAACTTCAATCAGTTCATGGTATTGCGCGACCTCATCTATTGTCTTCGATGGGTAACTAACTGTCTCTCACCCGACAGAGCTAAACTCCACTGACCACGCCTATGATCGTATTTGTGATATCAACGAAACTCAACAATCTCCATAACCCTATAATGTAAATAATTATCAAACAAAACGTATAAAATCATCTCACACAGCATCCAGTTTGTTATTCTTTGACGAAACTTGGTAATTTTAGTAATCTAGACTAAAGAAAATATAAAAAGTGATTGCTTTGTCTGTAGCTGTTAATGTAATGTAATGTAATGTCACATGATATAACCAAATCCCCGAACAGAATTGAATGACTCTGTAACAATCTCTGGTTAATATCTTAGTTCCTATTGGTACACAACCTTCTTCCTTTCTGGCCTGTTGAATTAGAAAGTTCGTAAACCACCCTTCATTGCTAGAATCATTTATTTCAAGCATACACAGTTTATACATCAGAATTGATTACTTCAAGTGGTGTCCGTCAGGGCTGTCCACTCTCTCTCTCTATTCTCACTTAACTATGCCATAGATAGACATGCTTTTTGAGATAACATTATCTTCGTCTGAATTTTCAGGAGTGGATCTTCTACAAGGAGAGTCACTGGTTGATTTAGATTATACCGACGAAATAGTTCTACGTGGTGAAGACGCTGACAAAATGCAGAGTCTTCTGACCACCCTAAGCAACAATGCAAGCATGTTCGAAATGCAAAATGTCGCTTCAGCATTCGGTCACGTCGTCACCTGAACTAGTTATAAGGAGTGAAGTAGTTGAGTATGTTGACCGCTTCACTTATCTGAGGAGTCTCATCAGTTCTGATGGTCTGGTGACTGACGTGATCTCAGTACGGATTCAGAAGGCTTGATTGGCTTTTGCCAACTTGCGTCACTTATGGCGAAGGCGAGATATCCGTTTGCTGACTAAAGGACGAGTGTACTGTTCAGCAGTTCGCTCCGTCCTACTCCAGGTGTATGAAGCATGACCAGTCAGAGTAGTAGACATTCGTAGGTTACTCATTTTCGATCATAGGTGTCTCTGAAGCATTGCTCATATATCCTGAGACAACCGAGCAAGCAAGTAAGCTGTTATTAGGAAACGGATACTATGTAAGAAAGGTGAAACTGCATCAGTTGAGGTGATCGGCACATATGTTACATATGCCGCCTAACTTCCGACTGTCTAGATGAGCGATGTTTTCGTGGTGTAGGTGTAGGTTGGAAGAAAGCTAGAGGTGGCCAAACCAAAACAAGTGGACTGAGCCATGTTTAGTAGATGTAGACAACTTGATCGGAGTCCGCGAGATGATAGTAATCGATGAAGATAAAAAGAAAGGTCAAAGATTGAATGCTGTACTGTACTGTTGCAAACAATTTTGAGTCACCTCATTCAAAGTCGCTACGATTACCACGTGGACTTCAACCAAATAGTTCTACAGCTACTGACATAAGTCAATTCTATTGTCGATGACTTCATAGACTAGTGCTATGTTTTGTTTGGGCTTGTTGTTCCAGCCTACTCTCCATCTCAGATAGAGAGTGTATCACGTGTCGCGAGTAAGTTACCTAAATGATCGAATATTTGTATTCATAGATCTTTTCTGTTATAAAATGAGTTTATAATATTGCAATACTGTTTTGCATTTTCTTCTTCTCCTCTTTTCAATTACGTCATCACCATCATCCATCATCATCTCATCGCCGCATAGATTTATCCATGTTTAGATACATTGTATCGTTCATTGCCAAAATTACACAAATGTTCATCGGAACCAAATATCAATGGTATTGTGTTACGTGGCACAACTACAACTGGTTCTTCCATTAATGAACAATTCATTGTCAACAACAGTAGTAATAGTAATAATAATAATAATAATAACAATAGTAATGACAATAATAATTCTAAACGTACTATTACCAATAAATCTGCTACAGTTACAACAAATTATTTAAGTTTATCACCTAAAACACCATACAATCATAATCATAATAGCAATACAACAACAACAACAACAGCCACATCAACATGTACAAATGAATTCTTTTTTACACATCATAATAAATTATCTGATACTACTACAACCAGTACTACTACTACTACTTCTGTTACTCCTACTGCTTCTGCTGCTGTTGCTATTAATAATGACCAATTCAATTCACCCGCCATAACAAATGGTAATTTAAACAAAAATTCGATTACACTAATTGATCATTTATCAGCATCAGCGTCTCCTTCTCCTCCTGCTCATCCTTCTGTGCATCATCATCTTGATCATGATAATAATAATAATAATAATAATACTGATACATCATTGTCCATTCAACCGGTGACATTGTCTTGTACTTCATCAGCCTCTTCATCACCGACATCTTCGGCATCATTGGTCGGGAATGATGAACGTACAATCGTGATTGTGGATGATAATAAGAAACATTCATAAAAACGATGATTTTATCTCTTCTATTTTGTTTCTTCAACTATCCTTATCAACTTTATCTTCTTCATGTGATAATCCACTTTTTGTGTGTTTGTGTGTGTGTCTGGGTGTGTGCATTCTTGTTTATGATCATCAATCAAACCGGTTCTTGTCACATGATTCGATTGTAAACTTTTTTGGCTTTCCATCTATCTATGTGTCTATACTTGCTGACAGTAATTCATGTACTTATTAACTCTTCGTCTTTTGATGTTAACACTTACTTGCTGACTGACTGACGGACGCCTGTTACCTACTACCCCCTGGATGGAGCCATAGGCCACCGACCAGCAATCTCCAATCTACTCAGTCATGGGCTGTTTCCCTTTCCAATTCTGCCCAAATTGTTGTGTTCATTTGTCTTCTGCTCCTCTTCCTCACGTCTGTCGCCATTTCTTTTTTGCTTAACCTACACACACACACAAACACAATTACATAATGACGACAAGAATGTGTGTTTTGGTGTTGTACTTCTCCCTTTTCTCTGCTCTAATGATTTTTATTCATTGTTGTAATGATGATCTGTGATAGGCGTGTTTTTTTTGTACAGTTCCCTTCCACGTCCCTCCACTGCGTCGTCGTCCTCCTATTCTCTCAGATTTTCATTGATTGCTCTCACACATGAATTTCTTAATCTTTTATTTTTCTCCTTATTTATTTGTTTTTATTTTATTTTTATTTTTTCATTGTTTTTTCATCTCACAGTTGTTTTAAATTTATTTTTAAATGTTGTTTATTTTTTTCCTCTGTCTGAATATTTACTGTTGGTTTCTTGTTCACCTTGTAGACGTAGAGAGAGAGAGAGAGATGTATGTACTGTGTGATACGTAAAAATTACCATAACCGTTGTTATTTATGTGTTGTGCACATGATTGGAGGTCACTTTTTTCCCCAGTGGGTTTGTCGAATAAAATATTTTTGAGTGAGTTTATGATGTGTTGAGAGTGAAGGGGTTTGATGCGCGTCAACTGATATGCTTGGAGAAAATTACGAGTTTATCTTAGTCGGTAAACGATAGTGAAGACAAATGATCCAGTGACATGATAGGATATTCTAATCCGAGTTTCACAAAGCCCCACTAAACAGAGGAAGAAGTCTTGGTATGGCATAGAAAGTGTATTCTACAAGTACCCAGAGAATATGAGGTTAACAAGCACACAGATCTAGTTTATTTATGCTTGATAGAAACGTCCTTGTGAGAGTCACAAAAATAACGTACTAAAATAATACATCGACCAGTAACATTCAGGGATTTTCTGGGTGGGAAATGTAATCTCAAGGTCAGCTGATCGACCCATGCTCGGAAACAAAATATCCAAAAATTAGGACCTTTATCAAGTGAGTTCTAATGTCCCCAACAAGTAGTCGAGGGTGTTGACCGCTTCACTTATCTTGAGAGTATCGACAATGCTGGTTTGTGACGAAACCTCACGATCGATACAGAAGGCCGTATTGACTCTTGTCAGTTTGCGTCACTTATGTCGAAGGAGTGAGTCATAGTGCTAAGTGTAGACTAATTGATTCAAATCTGCGAGACCACAGTAACGTGTGGTAAGAGACTTTGAATGACGGATAATAAGTTGCTCTTTCTATCATACAGCTGACTTAGCATGTTAGCACCTAAACGAAAAAGTTTACTGTGCATTATAGCTCGACTGGTTTAGGCTATTGCAATATCGAAATTCAACTACGGTTTCATGACACCAGCTACTGAACGGTCACAGAGATTTAATATGTGCTTTTGATGATCTATGTCTAACAACCGAAACAGAAACATGAATTCAACTAAAAGGCCTAATCAGATGAATTTGTAGTGTGTTTTCAAAAATTATAACGATTGGGAATACAAAGGAGAGCAAATCGTTCACTCTTTCTCCAACAAACGATGACTTAAGAGAAGCAAATGCTTGATTGTTCTGAACTTACTTGCCTTACCCTTGAAAATCAACTATTCGTAATGTGTGTGTGTTTCACCATACCTTATTCAACAGTAATTGTGAACATTGTCTCAAACATTACATATGATGTCCAACAGAACAACAATTAGATCATATCAACTAAACCATTCAGTCTATAGTGGTGTACCTGAATCATTAATCTTTATTTCAGAATCTAATTCCTGATTTTAAGAGTCCGTTAGCCTGTGTTTTTCTAACGTACCTCGATGGTAGTAGTTTTGTTTTAGGTACCTGAGGTTGTTTAACTTTGAGCGGGTCGTGCATGACGAACAGGCTTACTTTGTTTTGTTAAAACACGACCTAATACTCCTAGGCTCAAGATACCTACCTACAAGTTTGTCGAAAATGACTGAAAAAGATCAAAATAATTCATCTGTTTAAAAGTTTAGGTGAATTGCATAAGTATGCAGTGAAATCGAAACAGCTACTTATTTTTTTCCCTAGTTTTCCCCTGAAAACACTTTCAAACAACAACTATCATTATAAGAAATATGTCACTTCATTCAATCCAGTGGTTTTGAACCCATTTTTTTTCATTATGACTTTATAGTTGGAGGCTATCTGTGGAGATCAGGAACAGTTGCCAGTCTGTTACACTCTGGAAAATGTTGGCTAATCAGGGAAATTGCTTGACTAGTGGTTTGTAGATTTGAATCTCTGCCTTATTCACCATCGTTTGGACAATTGAATAATCGTAATGTAGTGAACGACAACACAGGTGGGGCAACCGGATTGTATTTACGAAAATTACAGAGTTACTCAGTAAAATCGGAAAACCATATCGTAAATTGTTAATTTGCAAAATATCAGTCCATCATATCGAACTGGACTGTTCCTGTTGCAAAACATCAATCCATTATCACTATTCATGCGTTTCATACAAATTCCATTGTGTTCTAACTCTTCCTTTCTTGATCTTCCCCCATCTTCTGCTGCCAGACATTACGTTGACACTCACGTCATATACTACTTATAAGTAGCTCACACCACAGTGCTAGTCTTCACATAAATAATATTCTTTGATACGAGGGCCAATAAACTTTTACTCGGTAAAGGAATAATAGTTCACATCTTATGACAGACAATACAGCTGTAATTGTTATTTAACATTTAGAACTAGTAAAAATAACGATCTTTTAAATGAGATTTTGTATCGCATAACTAACTACGCATGTTCGTTAACGATTTCTAGTGTTTAAAACCTCTGACATTTATTTCATGCTTTTCAAGTACTGTTACACTGTAATGACTTGAAAAAAATGTAACAGTTGACTTCACTCTATATGATTCTTTTATGTAATCAATCGGATCTTACTTACGCCTGTTGCCCCCTGATGGAGCATAGGCCGCCGACCAGTCTTCAACCTACTCTATCTTGGACTTCCCTTTCCAGTTCTGTCCAATTGTTTGTCATTCTTTTCATGTCTGCACCGATTTTGGGGCGTAGTGTATTCCTTAGCCTTGCTCTTTTATGCCTCAAGCCCCTCTGGGGCTACTGTCGGTCCCGAGACAGCATAAACGGAGGAGGATTGGGCATGAGGTCGGCGATCCTATCCCATAGAAAACTCACTCGCCAAAAATAAACGCTAATCAGAAAACGATATTTCAAGCAATCAGATCAAATCAAATTAATTTCTTTGCATTGATTGGCTGACTCCATAAATATTATTGAACAAATAATTCTCATCAAATACAATCCAGCCAAATTATAATTTATTTGCTCTCAATGATTCTTTTATTAGTAGCTTACTAAAAAAAGCAACACAAGTTTGAAGATTCAAATTAGTATGCAATTAAACTGAAAATTTTGTGATACTTTGTTTTATCGTTCGTTAAAGCTGATAAGAATTTTTATTGTTTGAGATTGGTGATATTCGCCAGATTTAGTGTTGCAAAACTAATAGGATTATCACAAACTAGTTGATTCACATTCTAGCAATGTCAGTCAGTGTTCCCTATAAATTTTAATAGTTTCTTATTTGTTGTAAAATCGAGAAATGTAATATTTTTGAAACTGTACAGTTTATTGATTAAGTGTACATGGTGACTGACTAGATTATGAGGATCGCAAAATCTCTGGGGAAGCACAGAATACTATGAACAGATCGGATGCAGCTGAACGATTTGAACTTCGTAGGTGGTCTGGCTCAACTACAAATGCAAGAGAAGACGGCCAGTAAGTACATCAGCAGCCTCTGTAGGAGTAAGTCTCAACATACATAAAAGGTAAAAGCAAGATTCACCTATACAACAAAACATGAACCAGTCAAATCACTCTTGATGAACAAGCATTGAGGGACGTAGAAACCTTTACATCCTCGAACAGTATTACCGGTGAAGAAGATGTATCTAATGCAGATGTAAATACATGGTTTGACACAATCAGGACAGTATTTCTACCGCTGAAGAACATCTGCAACTCAAAACAACTATCAACAAACACCAAAGTCAAAACTTTCGATACCAATGTCGAGATCGTTCCACTGTATCCGGTGGAAACTTGGAAAACTACGAAATCGATCATCCGGAAAGTACAAGTGTTTGTTAACAGTTGTCTATGCAAAGTAGTTCAGATCCGTTGACCAGAAAGCATCAGCAACAACCTACTGTGGAAGAGAACAAACCAGATTGAAGCGGGGAAGGAAAGCAGGTAGAAGCGTTGGAAGTGGATAGAATATACATTCCGGAAAGCAGCCAACTATGTCACAAGAGAAGCCTTCACTTGGAACCCTCAGAGTCAAAGGAAAAGAATGAGGCCAAAGAGAACATATTATACTGAGAAATGGAGAAAGACCTGAGAAGGATGAACAAAAATTGGACAGAACTGGAAAGGGAAGGAAGCCCAGTTCAGAGTAGGTTTGAGAATACTGGTCGGTGGCCTATGCTCCTCGGGAAGTAGCACCATTAGCATGAAATGAATATTAGAGAAAAATCGATATGAAGTTGAACAGATCGTGACGGTAAATGATGCAAAAAGTGTTTGTAATAGATGACATAATTACCGTCAATCGTTCAAGGAGTCAGAATGTTTGTTTGAAATCTGATATTTGTGATCATCAACTGTTATAGATAGAAGTAGTTATTCATAATTTAAAATTACTTCATTTCTGTTGGTTAACGCATCAACAGACAGACAGATACAACGCAGAACTTCGTATGTAAGTACATCAGTTCAGGTTGCCATGCCCCATCAGCACAGAGACGCAACTGTCAGTTCTAATCCAACAGTGATAGCAATAATAGAAGTATTAGCAGTGATGGGGAAGATTAGGGAGGGAAGATATGATTCGAAAAGTATAATCCAGTAAGATGAATTTAAAAAGAGAAAGATAGAGATGATGAAAAATTCATAAAGTTGGAATCTGAGAGAACACAAAGAGTTGATGCACCTGCGCCATTGCAAACGATTCTGAGCCATTTCGTTCAAGGTCTCTAACCATCGGTGACCTACGTCTCGCGGACCCCAACCAGGTAGCCTACATTATTTACCACATGACTCAGTTCACTTGTCAGTGACTTCATGCATTTCTGCCATGTTTTGGTTTGGTCGCCCCTAACTTTCTTCCAACCTATTCCTACACCACAAAACATAACTCTAACACATCAACTACTCTCATAGATTCAACTTCTTTTTTGTTTGTAATTTTCTACCAATTTACGCAAAGACAATGACACACTACGTAGTAAAAATCACATGTTCGGTATTTGTGTCAACGTGCTTTTTAAATTATCAAAATTTTATTATGATTGACAGAAACAGTAGAAATTAGAGGATTTATCCCCTTTTATATAATTTTTCAGAAAGTAACTGCCATATAATATCCCCCTTTTCAAAGCTATTCATTTCATTTGAGTAAATAGGCTAAAAATAATCTCAGTAATTCAAACTATCACTGTACTGATTAGTTCAAATTCAAAAGACCGGTAATCTATGTTTAAAGAGACGAATTTGTATCTTCTTCAGAGTTACCTCTTTGTTTTCCAACCTTTAAATGATAACAAAGTGTCTTTAGGAAAGTAAGTCTATCTATCAGGATCTAAACTGGGTTATAAGTTTGTGTGAGTAATAAGGATTATGATTTGAAGTTAGAAGTTAGGTATCGGAGTTTGTGGTTAGATTTTCATCATGAACTGATGACATCAACTTTCATGTCAAAATTTTGTTTCATCAAATGTATGAATTTAAAATTCGCGCCAAAATCCAAGACGCATTATCTGATTGGTTCGTCCATATATATTGTAGTTTCTTCTCAGAGTTAAATTAGTAAAACCTGTCTATGCTTCTTAAACGATTCACTAACAAGTAAATTCTCAGTTTGGCTAAGAAAAGATTTAAAATTCATTGCAATTATATATTTTTCAAACTTAATATTAATTTTAAATAGATTAATTATTCGCAAAAACATAGAAGTGATTGATAATGGATGAAACATCCATCATACACATTCAATTTTCAATAAACATTCAGATGCTACATCTGTATGCTTGCTTTTCATAAAAGAGAATTAATTGAATGACAAGAAAATTTTCTAGGGGAATTTAATATTACACCAACTAACTAAGAGTATTCAATAGTCAATATTTAAAAATTGCGACACAATTCAATGTTCATGTTCATATTTTGTTTGTCTTATTTTCTTCTGTATTTCCTTATATGTTCAATGTTGTTTTATTGATGGTCGTTTAAATTCTTCAATGATTATATCATTGGCTTGTTCAACTTTGATGATATTATCTGGTTGTTGTGGACGTGTATGACATAATATAATTGGTATTTCCAATTGTACATCACGTCCACCGAAACCAGTGACAGCTTTAATTCTTAACTATTTATAAAGAGAAAAATATGTATATAACAGTCAAATAACAATTTTTGTACACAGAATTAATTATATATATCAATTAATCAACAGCAACGCAGAACTTCGTACGTACGTGCATCACTGTTCACTTAATTGTCCCATGATTCAAAAGCAATGCTTCGAAGACACCTATTATAATCGAAAACCAGTAACCTACGAATATCTTCTACCGTGACTGGCCATGTTTACAGCCATAAAGTAGGATGAAGCAAACTGTTGCACAGTGCATTCGTCCTTTGGTTTGCAAACGGACGCAAGTTGACAAAAGAAAAATTGAGCCTTTTGTATCCGCGCTGAGATTTCGTCAATAACCAGGCCATCGGCACTGATGAGACTCCTGAGATAAATGAAGCGGTCAACATGCCATACTGCTTCAATCTCTCTCTATATATATATATATATATATATATATCGCTAATGAAAAGTATAAGATTGTGGAGATTGTTGAGTTTCAGTGAAATCATGAATTGATCAATGTTTGGATGCAATTAGAAACTTGTATGCATTGGACAGCCGTTTCATCTTAGTATGTGGCTCATCAGCAGTAAATATCCACGACTCAGTAAAGAGGAATCGAATTTAGGATCTCCAGTCTTATCATCCATTGATGGTATTGTAATATCGTGGACATAAGCATAGTTTTATGCCGGTTCATTGATCACGCGGTTTAGTGTGTTTGTGCATGTGATTAAACGTCCTGAGTTAGATTTGAGGTTATTCGTGAACTGAAATTGGTAAAGATGAAACAACCGGTTCATTTCATCTTGATTTATTTAGTATCCCTAAATTGATAGAATTAATCAGTGTCATCCCATGTAAGGAGAATAAGACTGAAGCCGATTTATGAATAGAACTCAATCCCTGTTAATACTCATTTATATTAAGTTATCGTTTCATTTGCAGCTTGATTTTGATGTTATGAGCCAAAGCTTGACACTATGCTCAATTATATATTCGTACTATAAGTGTACACCAGAATGAAGTGTCAAACAGAGATTAGAATCTGTTCACTGAGTTGTGATTATTTACAATTCTTCCAACTGTGTCACTGCTCGTTTCACTTTACAACTCGACCTGTAGCCTTTCTAGGGTTTCTGCCAGGTCCAAAGCCTGGATAAAGAAGGAGGGTTAGGCATGGTGTTGTAGACGCCATTCAATCGAAAACTCACTTACTAAAAATAGTCGTTAACCAGAAAAATCATTCGCTGGTGGGCGGCCAATGCTTCATTGGGGGTGACAGACATAACTAAGTAAGTAAGTAAGTAAGCAAGTAAGGTTCAATCATCAATCAATCAAAAGCAAGGTAAAACTAAGTACGTCCGTACGTACATCAGTTCATGTTGCCATACCACATTAGCACAGAGACGTAATTGTCAATTCAGATCCCATAGTAGTAGAGGTAGTAAAAGTATTATCAGTAATCGGAGAGATTAGTTAGGGTTGGATGATACTATTCAAGGAGTGGAATCCAGTGAAATAAGCTTAAAAAGAAAAAGTTTAGGATTTGAGAGAGCACAAGGAATGAATGCACCTGAGCCATTGTGAACGGTTTTGAGTCATGTCATTCAAGGTGTCTGACCATCGACTATTATCATGTTGCGGGCCCTAACGAGATAGTCGATACTCACCTACACGACTCAGTCCACTTGTCAGTGACTTCATGCACTTCTGCCATATTTTAACCTGGCCGCCTCTAGCTTTCATCCAAGCTATTCCTACATCGCAAAATATAGTTCGACGAAGCAATTGGTGGTTAGGGATACGCGACACATTTCCCAACCACCTTAACTGACGCAGATTCAATATTTCATTGATTGACCTGACATCCTTACCTAGTACTCGTTTCCTAACGACAGCATTGGTTACTCAGTTGTCCCATAATACACGAGCAATGCTTCGAAGACACTTATTATAATCGAAAACCAGTAACATACGAATATCTTCTACCGTGACTGGTCATGTTTCATAAGTAAGTAAGTAAATAAGGCTTCATTTTATCCAAACCATTGATCAATATTACTCAACAACACCAAACAAAAATAGCTTAGATAACTCAATAATTAATAACA